AAACTTATTCTATGAGGTCAGCATTACACTAATACCGAAAGGAGACAAGGACAGCACAAAAACAAAACAATTACAAAAGAATATCCTTAATAAACATACATGCAAAAATCCTCAAAAAACATTAGCAAACCAAACTGAACAATACATTAAAAAGGTTCATACACCATGATCAAATAAGTGGGAGTTATTCCTGGGAATGCAAGGATGGTTCAACATCTCAAAATCCATCAACATGACACACCACCTTACCAAAATGAAGAATAAAAATCATATGATATCAATAGATGCAGAAAACGCATTAGACAAAATTCAACATCCATATTGATAAAACATTCTCAACAAAATGGGTATAGAGGAAATGTACCTCAACATAATAAAGGCTATATATGATAAACCCACAGCTCATACTCAATGTGAAAAGCCAAATGCTTTTTCTTTAAGATCGGGAACAAAACAAGGATGCCCTCTCACCACTTTTTTCCCAACATAGCTTTGTAAGTCCTACCACAGCAATTAGGTAAAAAAACAAAAATAAACAGCATCCAAATCAGAAAGGAAGAAGTAAAATTCTCACTATTTGCGGATGACATGATACTATATAGAAATAACACAAAAGAATCCACCAAAAAACTATTAGAACTAGTAAATGAATTCAGTAAAATTGCAGATACAAAATCAATATACAGACATCTGTGGCATTTCTATACACTGATAACAACTATCAGAAAGAGAAATTAAGAAAACAATCCCATTTACAATCACATTAGAAAGAATAAAATACATAAAAATAAAGTTAACCAAGAAGGTGAAAAACCTGTACACTGAAAACTATAAGACAATGATGAAAGAAATGGAATGAGACACAAAAGATAGTCCTTGCTCATGGATTGGAAGAATTAATATTGTTTAAATATCCAAATTACCCAAAGCAGTCTACAAATTCAACACAACCCCTATCAAAGCTCCAACTGCATTTTCCACAGAACTAGAACAAATAATTCTAAAATTTGTTGGAGCCACAAAAGAGACCAAATAGCCAAAGCAATCTTGAGAAAGAACAACAAAGCTGTAGGTATCACACTATATGATTTCAAACTAAACTAAAAGGCTATAGTACTCAAAACACTATGGTACTGTCATAAAAACAGACACATAAATCAATGGAACAGAAATAAACCCACATCTATAAAGTCAATTAATCTATGACAAAGGAGACAAAAATATACAATGAGGTCAAGACAGTGTCTTCGATAAATGGTGTTGGGAAAACTGAACAGATACATGCAAAAGAATGAAATCTGATCACTTTCTTATACCACGTACAAAGATAAACTCAAAATGAATTAAAGACTTAAATTTAAGACCTAAAACCATAAAACTCCTAGAAGAAAACATAAGCAGTAAACTCTTTGACATCACTCTTGGCAATATTCTTTTGGCTATGTCTCTTCAGACAAGAGAAACAAAAAATAAAAATAATAGGACTACAACAAATAGGATTACACCAAACTAAAAAGATTTTCCACAGTGAAGGAAACCATCAACAAAACAATAAGACAACCTACTAAATGGGAAAAGATATTCACCAATAATACATCAGATAAAGAGTTAATATTCAAAATCTGTAAGGAACTCATACAACTGAACATCAAAAAAAAAAAATCTGATCAAAAAATGGGAAGAGGACCTAAATAGACATTCTCTAAAGAGGACACACGGATGGCCAATAGACACATGAAAGGATGCTCCACATCACTAATCATTAGGGAAATGCAAATTTAAACCACAATGAGGTATCACCTCACACCCATCAGAATGGCTTTCATCAATAAATCAATAAACAATAAGCGTTGGCAAGGATGTGGGGAAAAGGAAACCCTTATGCACTGTTGGTGGGATTGTGAAATACTGCAGCCACAATGGAAAACAGTGTGGAGGTTCCTCAAAAAATTAAAAATGAAACTACAGCCCTGGCCGGTTTGGCTCAGCGGTTAGAGCGTCGGCCTGCAGTCCAGAGAGACCCGGGTTTGGTTCCCGCTAAGGGCACATACCTCAGTTGCGGTTTGTCCCTGGCCCTGGTTCGGTCATGTGGGTGGCAGCCACTCAATGTGTCCCTTTCACATCATGTTTCCCTCTCCCTCCCACTCTATCTGAACGAAAAAAAAAAAAAAAATGGAAAGATGTCTTCGGTGAGGATAAAAAAATAAAACAAAACTACAATATAACCCAGCAATTCCACTTGTGGGTATTTATCCTAACAAATCCAAAACACTAATTCAAAAAGATATATGCGCACCCCTATGTTCACTGCAGCATTATTTACCATAGCCGAGATATGGAAGTAACCTAAGTGTCTGTCATAGATGAATGGATAAAGATGATAAAGACAACAAACTGATGGTTGCCTCATGGGAGGGGGTTTGGAGAATGGGTGGAAAAGAAGGGATTAAAAAGTATGAATTACCAGTTAGAAAACAGTCACAGGGAGATAAGGTGAAGCATAAGAAATATAGTCAATATTTTAATAACTATGTAATAGTATCAGATAGATAGGTACTAGACTTAACAGGGAGATCATTTCATTTGTAAATGTCTAATCACTTTGCTGTACACCTGAAACTAACATAATATTGTATGTCAACTGTAACTGAAAAACTTTAATTTTTAAAAAACAAATGTGTAATAAAAGGCTGAAACATTCAAAATAAAATTATCACTAAAAAATGTACTTCTGCCTTGCTATATTTATGCTGGTGTTTATAGATTTATTTTCTAAATGAACAAGATGTCATTGGTGATCCAAAGCAAAAGAAATGTGGAAGGACATCAATCATTAAAATCTATTTTAAGGCTTCAATTATCTATCTGTTCACCTTCAGTCATTAAAGTGATTTGATATCTACCAGATATAAGTTTCCTTTGGTGCTCAATAAACCAAGAACAATCTTGATAATATGATTAATTAGTGTAGGAGTGCTTTGTCTTTGCATATACTTGAAGGCATTTTTTGTGTGTTTAATTAGCTGAGGAAAAACTAGGGTTTGTACAGCCATGGCATAACATTTTATGGTTGGTATAATTATGTTCTTTCACAAAATGTCCTGTGGAACTGCTGGCGGATAAAATTTTTCGTTGGATGAATCCTCATCCAAGCAAGTACATATTTGTATTCATGAGCTCATATAATGGGCAAAGAGTTTCTAGAGACCTTGAGTAAAGCCATGCAGGATTAGCCATGAAGAGTAACATGAATGATATGCACTTGAGCTAATGATGTATACTTCCTCTAGAGTTACTTAGAACCTCACTCCACTGCTTAATTTACATTTTACATGTTTATAGCTAGAAAGTCTGTGAGTGGATAAGTACACTGTGGTGCATCCAGACAATGGACTATTATTAGTGCTAAAGAGAAATGAGATATGAAGAGGCATGGAAGAACCTTAAACACATGTTAATAAATGAAAGAAGCCAATACAAAAAGGCTACATTCACTTTAATTCCAACTATATTATATTCTGGAAAAGGCAAAACTATAGAGATAGTAAAAAGATCAATGGTTAAGAGGGGTTAGAGGGAGTGAGGGATGAATAAGCAGGATGCAGAGGGTTTTTAGGGCAGTGAGTAGTATGGTATCATACTATTCTGTATGATACCATAATGATGGATACATGCCACCTTATGTTTGTCCAAACCCACCGCATGTACACCAAGAGTGAACCTAATGTAAGTGTGGACTTTGAGTGATAATGATGTGTCAATATGGGTTCACTGATTGTGACAAATGTACCATTCTGGGGGGGGGTGTCCATAGCTTGGAAGGTTGTACATATGTAGGAACAGGGATATACAGAAACTCTCTGTACTTTTCTCTCAATATTACCAAAAACCTAAAACTGCTTAAAAAATAAAAAGTCTACTTAAAAGAATTTTTTTTAAAAAGGCAAATGAAAGACATTTTCAGATAAACCCAAACTAGGAGAATTCATTATCAGCAGACATACACTGTAAGAATCCTAACTGAAGTTCTCCAAGCTGAAGGGAAATGATACCAGAGGGAAACCCAGATCCTCAGGAAGTAATAAACCAGAAATGGTAAATATGGAGACAAATATAAAAGGCTATCTTTTTACCCTCTTAATCTCTTTAAAATATACCTGGCTTTATACAGCAAAAATTACAACAATGTGTTGTGGAATCCATAGCATTTGAAAATGTACTAACAGCTAATACAACCACAGCATAAAGTCTGAGAAAGGTAAATGAAATTATAAGGTTGTGAGGCTGTGTATTTTACCTGAAGTGGTACAAAAAAGTAGAGTGAAAAGTTCAGCACATATATTGTGAGCCATAAAGAAACCACCAAAATATAATGCAAGAAACTGGGGGGGGATGATGCAAAGGCTCCATGTCTTCACAGGCATGTGGGTTACATGAACATGCAGATTTGTCCAAACTACTGGAACTGTGCAGTTAAGATCTATGCATGTCACTGTATGTAATTTTTATCTACATTTTTTAAAGTGTCTTCCTAAAAAAAATAGCACCTGGCTCAGCCTAGTTATTCAGTTATTCCACTAACAGTATCAGTTTAAGAAATACTTTCCTTTTGAACATACTTCTTTCTTTCTTACCTTAGGGCCTTATTTAATACATGCTTGTCCTTCTGCATGGAACATTCTCACCTCCCACTCTTCCCCTGGATAATGCCTGTCCTCCCCTTGTTCTTCACCTCCATGGCATTTCCTTTGGGAAGCTTGCCAGACATTCTTTCATCAAAGGCCAAATTAAGATATCCTGTCACTTGCCCCCATAGCAACCTGGACTTACTGCTGTAATTAAGTTGTGCTTATCTGCCTATACTGTAAGATCCGTAAGGGCACTGGCTTGGTATCACTCACTGCTGGATTCTCTACACTCTACACAGAGCCTGGGTCCCAAGTGCTGGAGGAAAAAAGCAGAGACAAAGAGCTCCAACATCGATTTTCCTCCTAACATACCGTTTCGCTCTTTCCAAGTCATCATTTGCTTGCTCCAGCTCTCGGATGTATTTCTGCAGCTGATCTTTAATTGCCTTTGTCTGGGCTAGGTCATCCTCCAAGGCGGAGATCTGCCGGTAGCCTTCAGAATGCTGTGTCTCAAACTTCTCCTGAATGACAAAACCAACACTGAATGAACAATTTAAGACTTCTGATGAGCTCTGTTTATCCCCCTCTTCCCCGTCTCCTTAAAATACTGAAGGTTAATCCTGGAACATATGCACTCCTGCTATACTGGACACATGTTTTTAGCCACGGAGCATCCATTCCCCTCACTCTCCACAGCCTGCCAGCACCCTGATTTCTTTAGGGGGGTTCTCTCTCCATTATTACAGAGTCATCGTGGGACCATCCTCCCATCACACTCACTGAAGAAACTTCGGCCTTCCTTTCCCACCCTCCTCCTCAGCCAGGAGATAAGCCTCACTGCAGTCCACAGGACCTTTTCTCCACAGATGTGGACTCCTAAGCAAGTGACAGAAGAGGGCAGAACAAGGAGCTGTCATGTCCTGAGTGCTTCCTGCCTCCCAGCTCCTTGAACATCTTGTGCCCTGCCCCCTCCAAACATGGTCCTTGTAGATGGTCAAGGAGCACCCATCTTCAAAACAATCATTTTGCTCAAGGTGTCCACAGCCATAGAAAGCCATGTAAACAGCCTAATCCATGAGGGCAATATGAATCCACATCACATGACATCCCTGGATCGCAGAAAGAACATCAGGGATCACAATGACTTTGGTTGCATGTGCCACACAATAAGACCAGGACATCATGTACTTAGTTTGACAACTGTTCTGACTTTGTGATCCAGGACACTCCTCCCTGCAACATGGGGGAGTCAGAAGGAACTTCTGGGCCCGTGGGAGAGGAAAGAAAGGAAGGAAGGGAGGAAGGGAGGAAAGAAACAGAGAGAGAAAAAAACCTGTTATGAATTATGAAAGGAAGTTTAGTGCTTTCCAAGGGAAAGAACAGCTCAGATGACTTTTCAATGACGTTTTTGCCCAACTGTAGCAGCTAACATTTATCATTTACCCTGTGGCACCCTCTGGTCTCAGCAGGCTAATTATATTGCCTCATTTAATGCCATTTCAGAGATGCAGGGAATAAGGCTCAGTTACTTAATTAGCCCAGTCACCTGGTAACAAATGACTGAACCAAGATCCAACCTGCATCACCTGGACTCATGCTCTTAAGACAACTATGCTAAACCTCCCTCACCATTTCAATCCAGGTGATATAGGTGTTGATCTCTCTCCCTTTTCCTTTCCTTCATTTCTTCCTTCCTTCCTTCCTCTCCTTCCCTCCCTCCCCCTTCTTCACCAAACACCCTTACTACCTTTCCTTCATCCATCCACAAGAGAAAACACCCACTTTCCACAGGAAAGGCCCAACGTCTAATTAGAAAGTTAAAAAAAAAAAAAAAGGCAAACTCCTTTATTTTCTTTACCCAGTCGAGTAAACAAAGCTGTTGCTAGAATGACGTAATGGTGCCTAGGCCAGAGAGGCGTGGAGAGCTGCTGTGAAGAGGAACACCCACAGAACAAGCAGATTATTTACAGGGTGAGGACAAGGAGGGCATTCCACACACTCAGCCTGCTGTGTCCCCTCTGATGCTCCGTTTCCTGGCTGAGAGCAGAGGAAGCGCCTCCACTGGGGCAAGCAGGGGCAGAGCAGGCCCCGCGCACAGCGAATTCCCAGGCATGGCTCTGATGGCCTCACACCCTTTAGGTGGGTGCATCTCCAGAAAAAACGAGAGGGTGCAGGCTCCTAGGTTATTAACCTAAATTCAAATTCAGGTTCTCAGAGGATGAAGTTAACGAGCTTCTCCACCAGCATAGAGATTCAAATGATGTCCTTTGAACTTATGTACATGAAAAGATGTTGCTGAAATGTTGTGCTTTCATTTGGGGATAATTATAATGAGCTGTCAGCTGATGGAGGCATCAATAGATGCTCTGTTTGATCCCTTACAGGCCTTTTTATTCAACTTGGGATGAATAAACCAGTTGTCAAGAAGTCTGACTCAGTTGAATGCATTTTTCTTAGGTGACAAATATGGGCTGGTGGCACTTCTTTATTCCAAGGTATTTCTATTTCTTTCCCTGCTCTATGCTCTACATCTCAAGGATCTGTCATCTGTCTCAAGGTCTTCTGCAGGTTCAAGGGCTCGGTTTTAAAGCCATTAATTACTTAGTAATAGCTTGATATTTATTCAGCATCCATGGAGGGCCTCCTTCTCTCTCCAAACTATTAGCCATACCATTGATTTTCCTTCCATAGTTTTCCATCCCCAAACCCCCTTCAATTTAAGAGCTATGATTCCTTGGTGCCTATGGCAGGGGTCAGGATGATAATAAAGTGAGCGAAGTGGGCCAGGTGTAGGAATAAAGTAACACTAATTCCCTCAGTTACGGAGGTTGTGGGTGGGCAGCAGTGGGGACTGGGGGAACTGGAGAATGCTGGCTCTGTCTAAGCAACCACAACTCGGCTTTTTGCTGTTATGGAAGAATGCCAATGCTCAAAGGAAACAGGGATTCCAGATTTTTATAGCCTCACAACTTTGAGTGTTGATATTAAAGATATAAATTTCACTTTCAAAAGAATAAACCTTAAACCCTCAACTCTTGTTACTAATAGCTTGAGATATTTACAGGAAAGTGTATAGTATAGACGTCTGCAACTCACTCTGAAATGCATCAAAACATAATACAGATTAATGGATGGATATATATATTTATATATATAAATAATTAAAAGTATGGCAAAGGTTACTGATTGAGCTTAGATGGAGGATACAGAGGTGTTTACTGGAAAATTCTTTCAACCTTGCTGTGTGCTTGAAAACCTTCATGATAAAAGGTTGAATAAAAACCACTAAAGCCTAAGCAAACAGCACCTAGGGACCAGACTACTCTGTCGATAACCACTTTGGGTTCTGTGGTCTACAGCATAAAAGCTTCAACACCACAGCTCAGCTTCCAAGGTCTTTCCTCTGTCCCTCCCCATCTCTCAATCCCCAATCCATTTTTTGGTCTTACTTTTTCCCATGTACCAGCAAAGCCAGGTTTCCCAAGGTCCACCTGACACTCATTCTTGTCCGTGTCTGTGGCAGGTCCAGATTAACTTTTTTTAAAAATGTATTTGTATTGATTTTTAGAGACAGAGGGAGAGGGAGAAAGAGATAGAAACATCGATGTGAGAGAGAACCATCGACCATTGACTGGCTGCCTCCTGCATTCCCTGACTGAGAATTGAACCGGTGACTTTTTGGTGCATGGGTCGATGCTCAACCACTGAGCCATACCACCTGGGCCAGATTAACTCTTTATCGACTCCTGGACACACACACACACGCCCCACCCCATCCCACCCCATCTTCAAACCCTAGCTCAAGTCCTCCCAAGTGCCTCCATGAAGCTGTCCCCAACCTATGTAGATTTTTCTCTCTGGAGGATTTCATGGTCAGTATTATTTAACTCAGCATCTTTTCCTGAAATGCCTCCTGTTGTTAGGTTTGTCTTCCCTAAGAAGCTTCCAGAGGGCAAGTAGCATGTCTCCTTCCATCATAGCTAGCCCTGCACACAATGCAGGGCCTTGGCTCTTTCCCACAGCAGCTCATCAAAATTTACATGGGGAGCTTAATTAAGAAAAAATTAATAAAAAGATATGTAGACATCCCAGGGCCCCACCCTGACTTACTGAGAACAGGAATCTCAGGGCGGGGGTGGGTTTGGGCCTGTCTGATGTTTACGAAGCTAGCCAGGTGATCTGCCTGGCAGCGAGAGCCAAAAGCAACAGTCTCCAGGGCACAGTGTTATACTTAGTGATCATGTGTTAAGCCTTGAAGAATATCCAAAAGGCAGTCTTTACCCTTTAGAGCAGTGCTTCTCCAAATACTTAGCAATGTCTGGAGATATTTCTGGCTATCACACCTGGGGGAGAGGGTGCTACTGACATCTAGTGAATGGAGACCAGGAAATCTGTTAAACATCCTACAATACATCCTGGCCGGTTTGGCTCAGTGGTTAGAGTGTCAGCCCGAGAACCAGAGAGTCAGGGTTCGATTCCAGTCAAGGGCACGAACCTCGGTTGCGGTTCGGTCCCCAGCCCTGGTTGGGGTCAGGCGGGAGGCAACCAATCTATGTGTCTCTCTCATATTGATGTTTCTCCCTCCCTCTCTCCCTCCCTGCCACTCTATCTGAAGATAAATGGAAAAATATCCTCGAATGAGGATTTAAAAAACAAACAAACATGCTACAATGCAAAACCTAACCCTCACAATGAAGAATTATCTGGCCTCAAATGTCAACAGTGCCCAGGTTGAGGAACCTGCTCTAGACTGGCACTGTCCAAAAGAACTTTGTTATGATGGAAACATTGCACAACCCTTCCGTCCAATAATGAGACCCACTAGAGACGTGACTACTGAACATTTAAAATGTAGCTAGGCCCTGGCCGGTTTGGCTCAGCGGTTAGAGCGTCGGCCTGCAGTCCGGAGAGACCCGGGTTCGGTTCCCGCTAAGGGCATGTACCTCGGTTGCAGTTTGTCCCCGGCCCTGGTTGGTCGTGCGGGTGGCGGCCACTCGATGTGTCCCTTTCACATCGATGTTTCTCTCTCTCTCTCTTCCTCCTGCTCTATCTGAACAAAGAATGAAAAAGTGTCCTCGGGTGAGGATATAAAAAATAAAATAAAAAATAAAAAAATAAATAAAATAAAATGTAGCTAGTATAACTGAGGGATTAAATTTTTATTTTAATTAATTAAAATGTCAATGGCCACTTGTGCCTAGGGGCTACCATACTGGACAGCATAACCCTGGACTTTATAATATAATGATCAGCAATTCTAGCAACACTCCATACTCTAAAACTGTCTGCTTTTCACATGCCTTATGAGATTATAGACAATCCACGAATGGCTCTGGGGACATGTGTGGGACTTGCTTCTCACAGAGCTCCTGGCACATAAAGAGGTCAACTACCAAATCAACCCAGTAGGCCTAGAGGTGGGAGTGAGCCCAGGGTTCCCTTAACCAGTCACACACGTCACATTGAAAGCATTTCCTGTCACCCCCCTCCTCACCTTGATGGTTTCCAGCTCCATGCGAAGGCGGTTATTTTCTGACAGGAGGTCCCTGTTCCTGGTTTCAATTTGTTGCAGCTGTGTCTCCAATTCAGCTTCATATTCTCGACTTCCCTCCTGGAATTCTCGGAGCTCCTCTTGTGTATTCTCTGCCCTACAATAGAATTCCCAGATGTCAGATAATAATATACTGAGCATTTACATGCTGCTGAGTTTTATATATGGACCAGCTTTTTATTCAACTACCTCTTGTGGTAGAAACTATCATTATCTTCATTCTACAGATGAAAAGATGAGGTTTAAACAAGATGAGTGACTTGTCTTAAGGTCACATAAGAAGTCAGAAACAGAGCTTGGACCTGAACCCAGGAATGCCTGACACCAAAGCCATTTCTTAAACAATTCACTCTTCACTCATTCATTCAACATATATTTTCGAGCCCAACATGTAGTAAATATAACTTTGGATTGTGTATTCCCTTCAAATTTATATATAAGTAGAAACTGGACATAATGTAAACGTCACTTATAACACCATTATAATGTATCCATACAGAAGATAAAAAAACCATGCCCATAGAAGAAAATATACAACTTTAACACAGACAATGAAGATATCAAATTTGTTAAAGATTTTGGTTCAGTCTATTCAAATACATACTGCAGCGAAGAAATCAAGAGAAGGCTGAGATTCAAAAGGACTAGGAAACATCAGCAAGGCTAAGGTCATCCACACCTTTGTATTCCCACATACTATGTACAGATGTGAACACTGGACAGTGAAGGAGGCTGATATTAAAAAAAAAAAATGATTCATGTGAAATATGAAGTTGGAGGAGAGTTCTACAAATACTCTGGACCACCAGAAAGACTAACAAGTAGATCCTAGAGTAAATTAAACGTGAAACATCACTAGAGGCAAAAATGACAAAACTGAAGCTACTTTGGACACATCATGAGAAACAGGTTTCTTTGGGAAAGACAATAATGCTGGAAAAAATAGAAGGCAGCAGGAAAACAAGAAGACCAGACATGAAATGAATTGACTCCATAAAAGAAGCCAGAGGCCGGTGTCTGCAGGAACTGAGTAGGGCTGTTATTTACAGGGTTGCCAGGAATTGGGCCCATTCAATGGCGTGTAACACACACACACACACACACACACACACACACACACACAAAATGTGTCCCTACCCCACCCTAAACATCCAACTCTAGCTTCTCAATCTTTAAAATTCAAGTGACTTGCCCTGGCCAGTTTGGTTCAGTGGTTGACTGTCAGCCTGTGAACCAGAGAGTCCCGGGTTCGGTTCCTGCTAAGGCACATGGCACAAAAAAATAAATAAATAAAGTGTACCAGAAACCTCAACTTCCAATTGGGAGGAGGAGTCAATATTAAATAAATAAATAAATAAATAAAATAAAATTCAAGGGACTTTTTTTTTTTTTAAATACCAGCCTGAGTTATCTTTAAGTCAAACTAAGAATAAAGAAATTAGAATGACTAAAATTAAAATAAGACCTCCACGTGGAGATTATAATAGTCCATGAGAAACAAAAGAAACAATGCTGAACATACACACACACACACACACACACACCCTCCCAAATATGGGCACTAAAACACTGGCTTCCGATTTTAAAATCTGCAACAACCCATTTTGCTAGGCACAGGAAGTTCTTTCCCCACACATGAAGCACTGACCAGATATGCCATCCAGGAAATGATAAAACCTGTCAAGAAAATAAGATGGAAAGTAATTGTTTGCTTAGGATTACAGGCTTTGGAGTTCAAATTCTAGTTCTGCTACTTACTGGCTGTGTGACATGGCAAATTATTAGCCTTCATTGAGGCTCAGTTTCCTCATTTGTAAAATGGGGTGATAATGGTTTTTTCATGGGATAATTCTGAGATATAACTGAGATAATGTACGTTAAGCCTTCACAGTGCTTGGCATATAATGTGCCCCCCAAAAATGACTGCTGCCATTATGCTGGGAAGAAAAAGCAGGGTGAACTTTGGAGAACTGACCTTTGCTTATAGGTCATAGCCAGATCTTTCCAATAGTTAGCTGCTTCTTCCTCAGAGCTGAACGTCTTTCCAGGGTCCTCCATTGTGAAAACAGGAGAAGAGGTCACTCTTCCTGTGGCATGGTGTCTAGGAGAAAGTTTTAAAATTATTACCCTGGTTAAACAGCTGATCTTTAATGGGGGGGAAATTCCTGAACTTTACAATGGATTAAATGATAAAACACTGTCAAATCATTATAAGTAAACCCAGACAAAATCCAGCCCACCTGCATGTTTCACTCCAGAGACAGATAAGACTATTAGGATTTGCTGATTTATTACATTGGAAGGAGAGGAAATAAGGAAAATATGGAGGTGAGGACATTTCCTGGGGTTGTAGCTTAGGCAACTAGGGGCCACCACCATCCCCATCACTAGAGATGCAGAATATCAGAAGGAAAATCTCTAGGGCAAGGCGATAATGAACCCAATTTGGGACATGATTAGTTTGATATGCCCATGACATATCTAGATGTGACACTGGATCTGAAACTCAGGGTTAAAGTCTGGGCTAACGATACAAATTTAAGAGTCATGAATTTGTAGCTGGTTCTTCCCTTTTTCTTGTGACGGAACCACTGGAGAATCTAATGAGGACTATTTATGGAACTCTGAGGAATGCCAGTGTTTGAAAAGGGGGGCAAGGAAAGAAACAGTCATCGGAGGAGACAGAAGAGAAACAGAGAGATAAGAACCAGGAAGAGTGAGTTGTCCTAGAGTATGTGGTTTCAAGGGGGGAAAAGGGGGAACATTCCACAGTATCCATGATGCAACAGAGAAGCTGGTAAGATAAGGATTGGAAAATATCCCACCAGACTTAGCGAAATGTTGGTCACTGGTAATGTGAACAAGCATAGTTTCAATACAGTGGAGGAGGAAGCAGACATAAACTGGGTGGAGGAGTACGTGGGAGGTAAGGAAGGGGAAGTCCATGGGATTTCGGAGAAGTGGGTGTGAGAAGAAAAGGAGACAAATTAGACAGCACCTAGAGGGGAGGAGGGGATAGAAGCCTTGGCTTTGAGGGCTTTGAGATATCCAGAGCAGCGATTAGGAAACATGTTCTATTAACAGTTGTCAGTTTATAGACTTCCTGCTGATAGAGCCTCTGGATGTAATAGCTTATTTTCTGAATTTATTAAAGGCTCTGAGCATGTCAAAGGGTCATTAGGAATCCCAATTAGATGCCTCCAAGGTCCCTTCCTTCCTTCAGTGGAACTCACAGTCTGCAGTATGCATCCTTGGGGACAAAAGAATGAACACAACCCCTCAAGTTTCAAGACATAACTAACAAAGCTGTATTTTGGGCTAAAAGTACAAACCATTCGGCTAAATACGGTAGTGTTGACGTGGACACAATAACCAACTTCTGGATTCCTGGTAAAAATTGAACAATAACACCTATATTCGAGCACAGTACTTATTAATAACTCTATATTTCTTAGTACCTGTATGCACATGTTTTCTCCCTCCTAATTTCCCTTCCTTTCCTAATTCAGAGAAAACATGCCTTGTGCCTTCCCACTTACCCCCTTCTGGAGAACAATTTCTCTGAAAACTTGATCTAAGCAGAGAAGCTGGATGGAGAAGAAAGCTGTTAATTTGTTGACCCCCCCCCCCCAGCATTCCTTCTTTTATCTTTCTGTAACAACATCCCAATATTCTCATGGAGGAACTGACCCTACACTCATTCCATGTGGTTCAGATGACCTTGACATCATCTTCTGCACTTGGGAGAAGGCACATGCCTACTCATGCCTCCAGCATCAGTTAACTGGCTCAGGGGTGGGCCTAACCAACACTGAGCCAATGACAGGTCAGCCTCACGCAAGCTGAACAAAGCATTGGCTCAGGGGTGAACTTAACCCAAGCTAGCCAATAAGGGTGGGCCTAACTTAAGCTAAGCCAGTAAGTGTCCAGACGCAGGCCTTTTGCAGAGCTATCAAGAAACAAATTCCCTAAAGTGTTAACTAACCTATTGCGATAATCATTTTGCAATATATACATGCATAAAACAATCATGCGGTACACCTTAACTTACACAATGTTATATGTCATAATCATATAGCTGGGGGCAAGGAGATAACTCTTTTTCCACTAGTGTTTGTTAGATGGTAGGAAGTCCAAATGCCAGTGATCATCTTTCTATCACAACAGTGGAGACAGCCTGAGAATAAAGCCAAAACACAAGAAAGTACGACCAAGAGGTAGAGCGTTTGGGTCCTGATGATATTGTTTGAGCACCTGGATCCAACTGTACCTGACTTAGTTATGAGAGATAATCAACTCCCTTTCTTGGTTGTACCATTTAGGGTTGGATTTCTGTCACAAGATAGTTCTAATTAATATATGGAGTGATAGATCTTATTTACTCAAAGTAAAAAGAATGGAGTACCTTGAGTGTAAATAACAATAATTAATATGGGGATGGGTAAGGGTAAACCTGAGTGTGGTGCTCCCTGCTCAAGCCATATGCTCTAATGAGCCCAGATCACAGCTAATATGCAGTCACCAAATCAATGTCTATAGTGTCCAGAGCACAGAGTCCGTGCAACTGTAAGTGAGCACTGTGTGGCCATTAATGATCTTATTAAGGACAAATGCATAGCATAGGAGGAAGTCTGCATACAGTAGGGTGAGAAAGTGAAGAGCTAGGAACAATGAATGTACCCTGAGTGTTTGACTGACTTTTCCTGCTGTTTGGAAAAAAAATCATGTCCAAGGTTCAACATAATTAGTCCCTGCCTATTTCTCTAAACATTTTCCACCCCCTACCCATCACTTGCTTATATATTCCAGCTACACTTCCTTCTTTCCATTCCTTAAATACACCAAGCTTACCCTACCAAGCTTACCCTACCTCAGGGCCTTTGCACTTGCTGTTCCCTCTGCCTAGAATGCTTTTCCTTCAGATTTTGTGGCAGCAGGATTCCTTTTTGCCATTCAGATCTCAGCTAAAATGTCTTCCTCAAAGAGACCTATTTGAAAACCACCAAATACCCCCTCCAGCCCTTCACTATCATATTAACCTCCGCTTTGTGTTATCACTATGAGTTTTGTTTTTGTTTATCTTTGTTGAACATAGGGACCGCCTCCATATTTTATATTCCCAATACCTTGAACAGTGCCTGGCATGTAATAGGCACTCAATAAATACTTGTGGAATGAACACACACAGGAGGAGAGATTGGCCATTAGCTGGATGGGGATATGAAGTTAAGAAAAGGCAAGATGCAAGAGACCTTCTGAAGGCTAGTTTATAATTTACATCTGTAAATCCCTAAGATGCTTATTGGGATGGGGAAAAACCTCTCCCTCAGCACCTGAGTGACATCTCCTTAATGGGAAGGGGCTGGAGGACAGGATGCCATGGTTCAAACTACCCTCTCCTCAAGTTTGCATGATAAGAAGTATCTGATCTAGTTACTAGAGTTTACGAACCTTCATCCTGCACTCTATGACAGACAAGTTTTAGAAAAGGGTTTCTTAAAACATTCTTATCATGGCCAGTGAGACTTAAAACTTAATCCTCTGGAAAGAAATGAATTTGTGATGTTTCAAGAGGCACTTCCCTTGTAGGAGGGGCTCTAAATACAGCCATGCTGATTGGAAGGATCTGGTTTTGGACTTCAGGTACTGGGATAAACTAAGTAGAGACCTAAGCTTATGGCACAGCTTGCAGAATCTCTCACTTCTTCAACTAAAGGGCAAAAACCATAGGCCTGGCATTTCAACCAAAACCTCTGCACTTTAAGAACAATCCTTAGGGAAGAGAAAAAATACACCACAGGCTAAGAGGGAAGAAATAACAGCTTTGTCTTGAAAGAGCAATCTTAAAAATATGTTTCCTTTGCCATGTGAAAATGTCTCAGAAAGTTCTAATATGTATTATTCTCTGCCGCAGAAAGCAGATAAGATGACTTGCAAAGGTTCCCTTCTTCCAGCATTTATCTACTGCATTTTAACATCACCTTCTAGTTGCTGTGTGCTAGGCATTTAATAAGTTAGTTTCAAACAACTTTATCCCCTTTAAGCCATTCAGCTATAAGAGTAAAAGATCACCTGGTTTCTTTGGAGCTGGAACAGAAACATTTTAAACCAGACCCGGGGGTGGGGGGGTTTTAAAATTCAAGTTTAAGGTCTCCCTGGGGTTGCAAAAGACTGATTAGAGGTCAAATTCACTCATTTCATTTGGTCCACAGTCTTTTAAAAGGCACTGTGACAGGCAGGTGTTAGCTCTTGGTAACACACAACTTTGTACCCACTATCTTAAAAAACGAATACTGCTACAGACATTCAGTCTAACTTGTGTTCTCAATACACCATCAGGCCATCCCCAGCATGGTGGACAAATCTAATGGGTACCTCAACTGTATATTCTACAGCATGCAAGGAAGAACAAACTGGGACAAGTGTTTCAAAAACTATGTTTTTCATAACTTAGATCTACTACTACAAAACTGTTTCGCCAAACTTTTTTTAAATGTGTTTTCCAGGATTAAAGTTAACAGAAAAGTCTGAAAACACACCAGAGACACATGCCTTTACTTTCAAAACTAGGAAAAAAACAATCTCTCTTGGCTTCCCTCTGATTGAAGAAAGCCAGCCCATGCTGGTCAGGAGCAATACACACCTATAAACCATCAGGCATTAACTCACTGCCCTCCTTCACTCAAACCCCAATCCTTCCCAATCAAAACAAATGGAAGAGCTGAAGGGAAAGAAAGAAGTTGCTCCAATCGCTTCTATGTTATGAAGCAGGCTTTGCACTTTGCAGAAGTGACATCATTAGGACAAGATCAGTCAAGAGTCAGCAAGTCTGCCTTCTGTTTTCGTGCTTTCAAAGTCTATAATGATCTACCTAAAAAACAGATAGGCATGCAAGGACCAATGCTCAAGGCTGTACACCATCATGCACTGATGGAGAAACTGGAGAAACTTAACTGTCAACAGAGGGCTGACTACTGGAAAACTATGCAACTGTTAAGAAAAATTATATGGAAGAATTAAAATGGAAGCAAGTTCATGATATGTTTAAGAAAGGATGCCATTTTAGTTTACAAATCTATCTCCCTCTCTTCTATGCATACAAAGATGTACCAGATTGTGAGTGAAAGAGGCACTGAGATGAGAACTTGCACCTGACACACTATTAAGTACACTGATTTTCACAGTAAGCATATATTGCTTTTGAAATTTTAACCCGAAAAAAATAGCTGTTGTTCCAGGTTAATTTTATTCTACTGAACCAAAATGCCAGGGAAAGAGCTTTTCCTACTGTGGTTTCCCTCCTCCTCCATCCCTTTGCAAACATTTCTGAACATCTAAGTGCCAGGCACAGCTGGGAGAGGCAGATACAAAGCACCTACATCACTACTGGATGCAAACAAAGTACTTGTAGCTGACGCAAACTTTCTATGCACAGGTGCGCTCATGTTAGGCAATTATCTTGTAAGGAAAGTGAGTGTAACTTCTCTGGCTCACATGTTTTAAGGCAAAAGAACACATGTCCAAAATGGGATAAAATATACCAAATGGAGGCATCTGAGACATAGATCGCTTGGATCTAATCCTACACAAAAGATACACTAAGAGGAAAGATTTAAGTTTCAAAACTGATTGAATACCGTGTGTATTTGGGTGGTCAGGTACTAAGCGTCTCTGGGAGTCACTGGGATTCAATTCCCCTTCAAAGCACCCTACCCATGTCCTAAAATGCCATCCTATCCCTAGAATACACAAACAAAACCATTAAAGAAAACGACAAATATCTGACCAGTGCACGCTGCAAAGGCCATTTCTTTACAAAGGAAGTTAAAGGGAGCCTAGGGCTAAAAGTATAAAAGGCACAAGCTTGGTACAAACCCTGGACAAAGAAGTCAGGGCAGCTCAGACCCTCAGGAGGCAGAGAACCCAAGATGACTGGAGAAGATAATGCAGCTTCCCCAAAAGCGGTGTCAGGGGGGTGGCGGGGTTTCCCATGACCTCAGAGAGGTAGGCAAGTCCAGCCACTGCATTCAAGCTGTAAAATAAGCGTTTTCATCCTTTATTCAATCCGTCCCCAAAGTGCTGTCAGGGGAAATCTGAACCGTCCTGCAGCAGAGACCTGAGAAACGCGAAGGGAAGGAGACGGTTCCAAACACGTTCCCGAAGGGAGGGAGGTGGAGAAAGGAGGTTTTTTTGGAAAGAGGCCTGCAATCAGGGTGGGGAAGCGGGCAAGAAGGGCTACGGGGAATGAGGGTAGGGGGGGGGAGAAAAAGGGGGCAGCAGAAGGAAAAGGGGTGGCAGGGATTGAGGAGCAGAACACAGGGCGAGAAAAAAGACTGGGGAGTCAAGGAGGGGAGTTTGAGGTGGGAGGGAATAGGAGGGCAGAGTAGCAGGGCAGCGAGAACTGGAGACGAGGAGGGCAGAAGGACCGAGGAAGTCAAGGAGGGAGAGGAGGGCAGCGACAAAAAGAAAGTTGGCAAAGGCGAGGAGCCGGGCTCCAGGACACTAGAGTGGGAAGGCACAAAGTTTGGAAGGGAGGCTCCAGGGGCGCGGGAATTTTGAGCCCAGCGCCCGGGAAGCGACGCGCAAACGAGGGGACCGCAGGGTCCCTGCACGTCGGCGGCCGGGGGTCCCGAGAGCGCATCGGGCTACGGGGCGGGGCAGAAGAGTTTCCCAGCGGCGGTGGCGGACCCAGGGCTGCGCTCAGCCCCGGCGGCAGCTGCAGCCCCACACTTACCCGGGGTAAGGCGACGAGAACGGGCGGCGACCGAAACGGCAGGCGGCGGCTGAGGGCGGTGTGGCCCGGACCTTGGGCCCCCGCCCCCGCCCTTGCGCTCACGACCCGCATCGCTTATTGGCTGCTGCGCCACGGGACCGCGTCCGGCTCGGCCAATCAGTGCCGAGCAGCGGCGTTTGGAAACTTTTTCCCAGGGTCCGGGCGCGGCGCGGCCACGCGGCGGCCCTGCGGCGGGAGGGGGTTTGTGAGGCAGCTGCTGCTGGGTGGTGACCTAGCGGGCCTTGGAGGATGCTGGCTGCTCCCCGGACACCGGGGGGAACGGGCTTGGACTTGTGGGCCAGTGCACTTCAAAACAATACGACTCCCTCCTCTTGAGACGGATTTCATTTCCCCTTTCTTGCATTTTCCCCCAAATCAGAGAAAAGGACAAAGATTCTGGTCCGTTTA